CAAATAGACAAATTTTTGTAGTGGGGTATTTCAAGTAAAAAGATTTTTGTGATGACTTGTAAAGATATGGTTTTCATTATGGTGTCCTAAGTAACTCATTCCTGTTGCAGCTACATCAACGGTTAGACGCATCGCAGCCCAATGCTAACCTTGGTGTCCTGTTAATTGAGTTCTTTGAGCTGTATGGTCGACACTTCAACTACTTGAAGACTGGCATCAGAATCAAGGAAGGAGGCGCTTATATCTCCAAAGATGAGGTACGTGAAGAAACGTTCAGCTTTGCTTTGTTCTTAAGTATCGTGATTTTCTGGTCTCTTGATTATTAAATGTCTTGAGTCCTGTGTCTCTTGATTATTAATTATCTTGATTTCTGGGTCTCTTGATTCTAATTTATCTTGATTCTGTTATTGATTATTCATTTAGAGAAAGTGATATATATATCCAGGGTTCTCTAAATGAGAATAGCCATGGCTTGACACCACCTCAGTCAAATATTAGAAGCTACACATTTTCCTGTTTCTAATTACATGTTATAAAACTGAAATCAAATGATTGATGGAGAGGATAATACCACGATTCATATCATACAAGCCAGAAGGAACTTGAGACTTATTGCTGCTTGCAGATATTAACGGAAAGTCTTTCGGGTATGTTCTAGGTACAAAGAGACATGCGAGAAGGTCACACACCAGCAGTGTTGTGCATTGAAGATCCCTTAATACCAGGAAATGACATAGGGCGGTCTTCGTACGGTGTGCTACAAGTTAAACAGGCATTTGAATATGCATATATTGTGTTGTCTCAGGTAAGTGTTGCTAGCAGGCAACCTTTTCCTTATCCTCTTCTAGTTCTTTTATTCCTTCTCTTCCCCTTCCTATTTCTCCTCTTATTCCCATTCCTCTATTCATTTCATCTCTTATTCTTCCTTTCCCTTTTCCTCCTCTTCTGCCAGTTCTTTCTTCTCGTGTTTTCAAATTCCCCCTCCTTTTCCTTCTCTTTTCTCCCATTCCTCTTCCTGTTCCCTTATGTTCTCTTCTTGCCTCTCTTATTCTCCCTCTTCCTAGTCCTTCTAGGCCTACTTATCCTGTTCTTCTTTTCCTTTTCCTCCTCCTCCTCCTCCTGTTCCTCCTACTCCTACTCATAATTTTGTGTATATTAAA